GAAATGATATTGTATGAGGTTTTACTAAGGGGTAATAGGTTAATTTTGTTGGGTAAGATTTGAAATGATTTTGTATGAGGTTTTACTAAGGGATAATTGGTTAATTTTGTTGGGCAAGATTCGGGGTAAATGATTGTGGTAGCCTATGATTTAAGCTGTTTATGGAAAGTGTGACGATAGGCCTATTGTCTATACTACTCCACCTATTAATTTATTAACGCAACCAGATGATTTATTTACAACACCTAATTATTTACTGACTCCACCTATTTATTTATCGACGCCTCCTAATTATTTATTAACGTCACCTAATTATTTATTGACGCCACCTACTTTGGGATATTCTTGCTTCGAAAATTCAGATAAAAAGTAGTTCTCAACCCAACAGGAAATGTTACGCAAAAGGATGGCATCCCCAACCTACTCCTAAGCAGGATTTCCAGGCGTTCGTTCAGTTTCTGATTAATAAAATTCAAGTTCCGGTCCGTGCTAACATGGACGCGTTCAGATCGTTTGACCGTCACTGGCGTCCGTATTTCCTGAACTGCGGAGCGTGCGATTTGAATTACGAATACATCGTCAAAATGGAAACCTGGAGCGAGGATCTCAGGTGCGTCAACGTAAGAAATCGAGTGACTTGCTTCTTTGAGGTAGTCAACAACATGATTTACGTTAGTTTTGTTGAATTGACAAAATTAATTTTCTTTTCACAGCGAAGATTCAATTTAGAATGTAAAATGTATCTAAATTGTAAGTTCAATAAGCCTTTGTATAATTTTAACTTGGAAGTAAAAAATTTCGGGCAAGAAAATTTTTTTTGGAAAAATCCAATCCAATAAATGAAATATTAACTTGCCCACATATAACTGTATTACTTTTAAAGTATGAGGCGTTGCTCGGGAAAATTTTTTCAAGGTTAACTATTATCATATCATCGCTCAATGAATTTCCAGGCATCGGCGTGCGCATGCATATATGCTTCCATTGTGAGAATCAAAGCGATATCTTTATACTCGTCGGAGAAATATTAATCTTGCTATTCGTATGTTGAAGATTCATGGACTGCCTTTATGTCAACAGGTACCTGTTGCCGAAGTTCAACATGGATGAAAAGAACGAAGTGCACGAAAACGCGAAGAACTCAACCGATGTGTCATATCGATACATCAGGGTGAGCTGGGAATTCTGTTGATTTAAGTTATTGTGTATATGATCCAGCAGGTAGATGGTTTGATTATATTCCAATAGAAGTAAAAGTCAGTCAATACTATTAAATTTGAAGATGATGAACAATTTTTAGCATAGTTGTCAATGACCTTAAAAATTTTCTTGTTTACCTGTTAAACTTGGTTCTATTTTACTATTTTTATACACATTTTTTGCCTGTATTTTCATGGAATATTATGAGTTCTTTTCACGATTTTCTACTGAGCAGGCGTTACCAAAGCAGCTCATCTTGAAACTCTACGAGATCTACAAGATTGATTTCGAAATGTTCGACTATTCTCTGAACCAGTATATGACATGAAATAAATTATAAACTTTGTTACTTATTAACAATTTTGGGACAGAAGACTACATATGATTGCCTTACCTGATTGCAATGCCCCATGGGGAATGAATGACAAAACACGATCACTGATTTGCGAAAGCATTAAAAAAATGATTGTTGATTATATATATACCTTGGGTCCAGGTGAAATGTACGACTAAATAGTCCACGGAATTAGTACCGAATATTTCATTTACTTGTCAATTCCATCTCGAATAGTAGAAGAACCATTCTTTAATGATTGATTCACCTGTAAAAAATACTTATATTACCAAAAATTGTAATTATTAGTGCGAATTTTAGTTAGTTTGTTCATGGCCCTACACATCAATTGACCAATTTCACAGTTACTTCTAGAAAATGAGATCGTTTTCTCTAAATACCATAGAAGGAGTAGATTTGCGGGGAGACTGTAGAGGGAGAACCTTCATCGGCTAAAATTTTACAGAAATAATTTGCATCATTGATGCTCATGGCTGCATTTCGCCGAGCACTGTTTGCTGCGCCGGTGCGCGGGCGTCGCTTGCTCCAGGCTCATGACTTGACTCGAGCATGCTGGAGGGACTGGAGCATGCTGGATGGACTGGAGCATGCTGGAGGGACTGGAGCATGCTGGAGGGACTGGAGCATGCTGGAGCGACTGGAGCATGCTGGAGGGACTGGAGCATGCTGGAGGGACTGGAGCATGCTGGAGAGACTGGAGCATGCTGGAGGGACTGGAGCATGCTGGATGGACTGGAGCATGCTGGAAGGACTGGAGCATGCTGGAAGGACTGGAGCATGCTGGAGGGGCTGGGACATACTGGATCGGCTAAGACATGTTGGAAGGCTTCCCCACTCTCACGGCCAGTTGTTCTCAAGCATTTGTAAAAATTTCCAGCGGAGCTGCCGGGTCATGAAAAGGTTCTCCCTCAAATCTTGATATTATCGGAGCTGTAATGGCCACTTATTGACCGACTGCTTAATTTATTTTGCGGTGATGTTTTCACAATGCAAATATCTCAGTTTTAAAGTTTTCTAAAAATATGCTTCTTACACTGAGCACTTTGCCAAAAACTGAATCTATAGAACATTCGAGAGGATTGCATCGAACTGCCGACAGAATTCGCGAACAGGGTTTGCAAGTTTGTAAGCCTTGCACGACATGGCTAAGAGTTCACACAAAACCAGAATCTCTTGTACGGAGGTTTTTGAGAAACGTGTTCGCAACTATTGCTCGACCGGTGAAAGTAGACAGCAAGTCAACGTTTCCAGCGCTGAATAAATGTGAAAATATTTCAAAGAAAATCTATTAATGCCAAATTCACCAGAGACAAGATGTTCTTAAAATAATCGTACGTAATCCTTAATTGGGCATCACCTAATATCAACGCCTCATTCAAGATGAACATAAACAAAGCAAAGAAGAATTAATTATTAAAGCAAATCAGCATTTTTGAAACCGTCACTGCCTCTAGTTGGCTGTCAATAGTTCCCTTTTAATAATAATTTATTGTGTTACTTAATAAGCCTAATCAAAATCCTCATTAATTCGTACCAGAAATGAGGATTTATTAAAGTAGAAGAAAAGCATTTTCAGGGGGTTCGAATGACACCAGCGCACGAAAAGAAACTAATGAAACCTCAAGAAAAATCATTTATCGAGCTCGTGCCGATAGTAAACGATATTTGTTAAAGCGTTCAAATTACGCTAAGTCAGAAGCGCCTCCGCTTTGTGCGCAAGATGTACCTCGAAAGACACTTGTTTGATGCTCCATTAACGGCGTACAGAGGGTCGGGAGTCGGGCGCTCGCCGCACTCCAAGTAAAGATTTTCCATTCTGGTCTTAAATGGCTTTCAGTCGAATAATTTCTTTCGCTGTAATAATGGCTCTGTGAGAATACTACTGGGCATCTTAGTTTATGGGAACTATTATAAACCTAAGAAACATCGCGAAGAAATAAAGACTATACATAAATTTCTCGAGAGAAGAGGGAGGAGGTGAGGAGAGAGCTGAAGAGTGGGAGGCTAAAGAGAACTCAGCAAGTGGTGCGAGTTCCGTCAGTTCTCACTGAGCGGTTGCGGTAGCTGGTGGTGGTTTCTCGCTACCGAGCAAACTTTACCTGCTTCGTCGGCTGCTCCTACCGCTGGATTACTTCTCGTCTTTCTAGCGTGCTCTTATCACTAGGCTACGGACTGAAGAGTTTTTCGTTTATTTTTCGAGACGATCTTCATATTGTATTATGGCTTGGGCATTGAATTTCGTTGTACTTTAATTTCACCTCTGCAGGCATTCCAGGTCTCTCGATGACCCTATTTAACCCCTGAGTTTAATATGGTTCTACTTTCTTGCAAATTTTGCCTGATGATGAGCTGATCCAACTAAGATTATTAAAACTTACGAATTTCTCCAAGGTGATGAAACTTGAACCAATTGCGTACCATGTGTCAGCGACGCGATACATGCCCTGGCTGGTCACGATGGCATGACCAGGCAGTGACGGAAGTTTGCGTGATGTACGGGGCGGCTCGCGACATTCAGTGAAGAGTGCGGCCGAGGGGAAGGGCGAGGAACGACATTTGCAATGCACAACTGCATTAATTCATGCGGTGATAAGCATGGAGTTGCAACACGCTAGGCTACGTAGGCTATTGATCTCCGTTTGACCGGCGCACACTCCACCGCCGTCACCTTTCCAGGTGTGAGAATTGAAGCCTGCGTGACAAATGAAATCCATCGAGAAGTTTCTAAACTAAAAAATTTAACAGGTTTCCGTTATCATGGGATCTTTTTACATTATTATGACAAGTAGTAATTAACATGAAGACTGAGGTTACATAATAATATTAAGAGTTCGTCATCGGACACTGAAATTACAGGAGCGGAAAATTTCCGTATAAATTTCACACAGAAGAGCAAGCGGTGCCACTCAAATGAACAGTGATGATTTCAAAACATGAGCACGGCGAGCTAAAAATGAAGCATTTGTGTGGATCAGCTTTATTGCAGAGGCTATCAATGGGATGCCTTACACTATTAAGAGGTTTCTTTCTTGAAGCACCCCCGTATGAATAACTTAATAACAAAACTGCAAGGGATAAATTTGTTTAACAATAAGTTTTAGTTTAGTATCCTGATTGTCTGTATAATTTAAAGATACTGTGTTTAAATTTATAATAATTTTCATTTAAGCATCGAAATTAATGATAACACATACGTTTTATGAATTGCAGCGAGTTACTTTCATGCCTTGCTCGGCAATTAAAAATAATACTTAGGCTCTCATTAAGTGCACATATAGGTCATCTTTCCAATGATAATTTGATTTTCTTACTTCTGGACAGATATCGTACGAGTTCAACATACGTTACATGAATGTTGCTTGTTCCTTCACATAACATTCTTGATGAGATTCTGAATGCAAGTGTTTTGATAAAAGACATTTCCAGCTTCAGATAGAGAATCTGCAAATTATTTTTCCACTTTTTCCTTCCTCTTCAACCAAAGTTTATTGGAAATTTGTCGTTGAAATTTGAATGATAAACAGTACCAGAGATATGTAGCAACGAACTGTACCTGATAACACGTCATGTCCGTCGTCGCCCTCGTCACATCTCCCTTCACTGATCTCAGCTTCCCAGGGTGAGTGTCTCGGTTAGGAAATAACTTCTGTTTTACCCACATCTTCTTCCTTATTTCTTATATTTCCCACTTATCCATGTGATTTGGTTTATTTTGCTCCGAAAATCTACTCTACTTTAATTGTTGGGTTTAGTTCAAATTATCTTAGGATTAGAGTACGCAGGATAAATCTAAATGTTTGAAGTCGTTTAATAGTGCTAAGCTTACAGTTTTTATACAGGTAGCAGCGTATATTGCAAATAGTGTGCTACATATTTAGCGTAATAGATGATGTTTCACGTCGAAAAGGAATTTTTTCGACATATCAAGGCTTAATACTGAGATGCATCAGTCATTCCAAACCTTCGTGTGATTATTTTAAATATTTTCTTCATCAAATATTCCCCGCCCTCTCTCTCTGCCCATCCGTGAAAAGCTGACAGATGCACCACCAGCGTTCCTACATCAATCCGCTTTTCATGAATTGATGGAAAATCTGTCAAGTTTTGAAACAAGTTTGGTCCGCTTTGAAAGATAAAACGCCGGCAATTAGGCCCTCTCTCGAGAGACATGACTTGTCAAACTCATTTCCAGCGATGGACGTGGAACTTTTGCCGTGATTTTCATGATCATTTGTGCTCTGAAATTTGTGGCAACGGCGAAAATATTTTTGATTTTTAGCGCATTTTCTCATTTATGGAAAAAATGCACTATTGTGCTCGCCATGTCCGTCTGTCCGTCTGTCTGTCTGTCTGTCCGTCCGTCTGTCCGTCCGTCTGTCCGTGACCTCAAGTTTTCGTCGACGAGAAAATGCGCTCTCTGTCACTCACTGCAGTGGGTACTGAGTTATATTTTTTCACTTATGTAGAAAATATTTTTGATTTTTAGCGCATTTTCTCATTTATGGAAAAAATGCACTATTGTGCTCGCCATGTCCGTCTGTCCGTCTGTCTGTCTGTCTGTCCGTCTGTCTGTCCGTCCGTCTGTCCGTGACCTCAAGTTTTCGTCGACGAGAAAATGCGCTCTCTGTCACTCACTGCAGTGGGTACTGAGTTATATTTTTTCACTTATGTTATACGTCGTTTTTTTCTTGAAATTTCTAGCCTACGTGCGTGCAGCCACAAAGCTGGGAAAACGTTCATTGGCTCATACGTATTTCCGTTCATGTAGTCGCGATTAATTTATGATAAGAATGTAAAAATGTTCACGAATAATCAGTGAATTACCCATTGAGAGTTGAGATTAATCACCTCTGCCTCAAATGAAAACATCATATTCCGTAGATTAATCTAGAATCTAACGTAAAGACTACAAGTCTCGTCAAAAATCAATAGACTAAAGTTTAAAAAAACAGTCAAATACAAAAAATCTACTTGTTCTGTGATATTTTCTTCGAGGCTTCTGTTTTTGGCGCTTATTAGGGGTGATAGAATATAGTCGGAATGCAAGCGTTTGAATTTTCCGCTGAACCTCTACCACCCGTAGCAGAACTGATCATCTTGTTATCTTGGTATTATCTTGAACGCATCTCACAATTAATCACGTCATGGGTAACGAATTTCGCTTTTTGTTCCTTGAATTTGAGAAACTCCACGCTACTGTGTCAGGCAGTATGAACCCGTCGGAAGAATACCGTGCCAGCTTGACGCTCAGTGGTGCCCCGTGAAATATTCAGTGCCAACCACGCCCGCGTCGTCCGACCTCTAACATTTGTGTTGTCATATCTCTGGGTGCACAGTTTTACGTTTTTTTATCTAAAATCAATGTTTGTAATATGCCTATTGCAATACCAATAAAAATGTAATCTGATCTTGAATATAGTCCATTAATGTTTTCAGACCGTCAAATTTTTGCGTGCGATATACGCTGAAGACGTGAACAATGTTTTTATTGTGAACGTATATGATGGTTTACTTCCGTAAACGCTGCACATCGAATGCAGATTTGACGCATAATAGAAATTTTTATTTCTACAAGCTGAACACTATTAAAATATGAGTTACCTAATAGGCCGAAAAATCTCATCTTCTAAACTCCTACCGTTCTTATAAATTGCAGCTAGGAAAATCTTCTTTTCATTCAATGCTAAGACGACTGTAATGGAACGAACTCATCACTCGCACTCGGGTCATCAATTGAGTCGTACGTCAGGCACTGCAGTCTTCAGTCTCCTGCGTTCTTCAGGCACTGCGTTCTTCCTTAGCGTTTTACAATCAGAAGAAACTTTTCATTAGCCTCGTAATAAGTTACGGTCGCCGTAACGTTTTTATTTACGGTCACCGCCACTCTGATTGCTCATCGTAAATTGGTTTAGGTGACTTATAGTATACTTATATTATTTCCTCCCATTCTTTAAAACGCTTTTGATGTTCTCTCTGAAGACAATGTTCTTTTATCCGGTGATTTCTTGATGATATTGGCTGAGAAAAAATCTGGCTTAAGATATTGGCTTAATCTTCTTAAGATATTGGCTGAGAAGCTTTAAAATCACGAGTAAAATATATGGATCTGTGCTATAAAAGAAATAAGGAACGATGCGACTTTTGATATCTCAGGCATGTAAGCGACATTTAGCTATTATTTAGCATTTAAAAAAATGATGAAGAGAATAGCATTTAGTCTGACGCCATCATGCCTCGTTGATTGATCTCGCTCTGAAGGTCATGTATGATTGGCGTGAATATTTGAAACATTTTTCACGGACACCCAACCGTTGAGAAGATTATTGGGGCGATGTAAATCAGCGCGATCTTGAATTTTCAGTATTGGAATTTTTCTTCGATATTTGAGAAGTGATTCTATATCACAGAAACTTTTTGAAACGTGACAATGATGACGTAAAAATTCCTGAAATTTTGAAATACCATAATTAACCCACAATATTGACGGGAAAAAAAGAAAAAAATGTAACTCAGTACTCACTGCAGTGAGTGACAGAGAGCTAATTTTTTCGTCGACGAAAACTTGAAGTCACGGACGGACAGATAGACGGACGGACGGACAGACGGACATGGCAAGCACAATCAATTTTTTCCATAAATGAAAAAAAAGCGCTCAAAATAAAAGATAATTAACTGAAAAAAGAAATGTTAGGTAGAGATGGATTATGGTCTTTGGTTGATATAGCACAAAGAAATCCTTTTCATTTATAAAGCTAAATATTGTTTTACCTAATTGTTGCGGAGCCAAAAGGTGAAAAATCCAATCGAAGATTGCAGCCTATAGTTACTGTGGATTTGAAATCTCATTCTCAAAGGCTTTCATCAAATATAAACTCATGAACTCACGATATTGAACGCTTACATAAAATTAACCAACCATATTTTACCGTAGCATTGACTCCTGTAAACGGGAAGCCTAAACTATATCATATAGACAGTATTTACGTGTACACTGTCATCCGCATTTCAGTGGCAGTATGTCTACGTGCCAAGAAGCCTAGTACTGCATTTTAGTGACAGTATTTGTACTCAGTACACTGTACACTGCGTTGCAGTAGTCGTCATGGCTACACGCTCTATTTACACTCTGCTGAACGGAATGCCGAGCGTCTCTATCCCGGAAATTAAGTGTGATTTTCGGGGCGCCGCGTCGGCCGCTCCGTGGGGGTCGTCCGCTCGAGAAATGCATGGCGTTGTTGCTGCAGCTCACCGGGGGTGAATACGAACAGAGCACTTGCTTGAATATTGCAATAACTGTAATATGAGGTCCATATCTCATCATACATTAAATATTGCATTCACCACACTACAAGGATGATATTTCATCATACATTAAATATTGCTGTCATTGCACTATAATTCAGGTATCTCATCATGAATCAAAGGTAACCGTAAAAAAAGTGTTAGCAAAAGTCATTCTTATACATAAGTATTGTCGGCAGTAGCCACAACAGCAGCAGCAGCAGCAGCAGTATCAAAATTTCCTTCGGTAGCATCATTTTAAATTGTGGCAGTAGTAGCAGTTACACAGCAAATGTAATAGAGCTGTTGGTGGCAACAGCAGCAGCGCGAGCAGTTAGAGACGCTGCAGGGCCATCAGCTGCAGCTGAAAGGAAATTATTAACAGCAGCAGAAGTAATTTCATCCTGGATGCGGTAACAGCTGTATTAGCAATTGCGAAAACCGCAGCAACGGTAATGACAGCAATAAATGAAAGAGTGGTAATAATATATGTAGCTGCTGCAGCAGTAGCTGTGTCAGCAATATCAGAGACAGCACTAGCATTAGCTTTTTGGAAAATCGAGGCAATTCGCTGCAAACAGCAGCAGAAGCAATGCAGATTGCTTCTGAAAAATAACAAGGTAGCGAAGTCAATAGCATTAGTTTCATCAGTAAGTGCTGTGGTAACAGCAGCCGTAGCAATAGCAGCAGCTACTCTAACAGAGGTTTATGATGCAAGATGGCAACAACAATACAAACAACAATATAGCAACAGCAACTGCAGTCGCAGGGCTGTCTCGGTAACAGCATTACGAAGCTCGCTTGCCTTGCCGCCGTCCAGGGGCGCGTGCCTAACGAAGCGTGACAGCTGCCACGGGCACCTCGGCTGGCTTTATTTTGTGATTTCGTAAATCAGAAAAATGCGGCAATCTTTAACACATGAAAATACCAGATAAACGATGATGTTTACCCCGAGTTTACCCTTAAAGTGGACAGATCCCTCACCTCATCAGACGCTACAGGCTGACAATACCGTGTAGACCATCGGATACCGTAAACAATGAACTGAACAGGGACGAAACTTGATGTCTGCGCCTCGTATATGCATCGCTGCATCGCTACTGGGCTGCAATGATCAACTCTTAAGAGCGAATGACTGCCATTAGCACTCAGGAAACATGCAAATTTACTAATTCATTAACAGATTGAGAATGAAAAAAAGTTAGAGCAAGAATGGCAGGCAAGAGCTGGGCGTGGCTGGGCTTGCGGTGGCAGCGCAGGCATATAGAATAGCAAGACGGAGCTGGACTCATGGTGGCAGATGGTGGCAGGTGGTGCCAATAAAAGCGGTATATACAT